TCCTAATTGAATGATGAATCTTGATTTTTTTATGTATACATTTGTGTCTTTAGATATGTAGTGTAATTTTTTATTTAATGACATGATTAAACAATGTATTATAAAATATCTTTAAAATAAAATAATGTGTAACTTTTTTCTACAAATTAATATTTTGAGTTGTAATTTATAACTCGGGAAAAAAAAATCAATTTTTACTGTAAATTTTCAATTTTATCAAATTCAACCATCGACTAAGATAAGTATTGCAATTTTTACTCTCTATTCAATTTTTCTCTATTTTACCAACTAATTTAAACATATCAACATAGAAATCTTTACAAACTCATTAAGTTCAATGAAATCAAGCTCGACACATGATTAAGTTTGATCGATACACAAAATCGATTATTAAGGTCTTGTTTGAAAATTATTTCCTTTTTGTTTTATGTTGTTAAAAGGTATACTTGATTTTGTACCATTCTATTATTAAGTTTTTCAACTCTCTTGAAAATAAATTTGAATTATTAGCCCAATTTTAAAAACAAAACTATTTCTGAATTCTTTTTCTCCAAATTTGGTCTAGCTATTTAAAAGGGTTATAAACTTAATTTTTAAAAACATAAAACATAAAACAAAATAAATATCAAACAGACTCTAAATAGCTTCGCAAAAACTTACCAATGTTAAAAAAATAAAAACTAGATCGGATGTATTTTTTTCCTTGAAATCCTATTAATTTTATACTAGACATAAGTTTTATAATCTATCAAACATACATGATAATATAACTTTTAATGATCCAATAAATTCATTTATTAAAAGATAAAAATTGCAATATTTTCTTTTTCAAATTTAAGGTAAATATTGTAACAAAACTTTTTCTTTTTTGAGTTCTAACACGTAGCGAGGGCGGAGATTCAAACCTTTGAACATATATGATAACATAACCTTCAACAATTTTTTAAATGAAAACTTATTAAAAGGTAAAAATTGCAATTTTTTTTTTTAATTATGGTGCGAGGATTCGAAGCTCTAATCTTTTGGTTGATAATATATGCATTAAACTTATGCTCAGATTGTCATGTATTAATCAATTGAACTACGTTCGAATTGACCCAAAAAATGCAACAATCATCTAAATTTTTTGTGCAATTTGATAAAATTAAAATCTTAGTGTAAAAATTGATACGTCTCGGGGATAAGAGTTGATTTTTTTTCCTAATAATCTTATTTAAAAAATATCCACGTGGCCCAATTGAAAGTGATCGGTGGAAGAATCAAAATTGAACTCTTTTCGAGACGTCCCCAAGTAAGCACGTGAAGGGATTGGAGGATCTCTCCTTTCACCTTTACAAATGGAGGATTTTTGTTCCTTTTAAGTTTTAATATTATATTTTTTAAAAAAAAATCAAATTAATACACTTCCCAAAAAAATATGATAAAAATATGTTGACCCCTATGTTTCAATTTACGTTTTATATTTTTAAAAATTTCACTATCGTCTCTATTCTATGATTAAAAATATTACTTATAATAAATTTAAGTCGGTTTATTTATTAAGAATCATAATGATAAGAAATCGATATGAAAATGTTATTTTTCTTTTCATTGATTGTTAAAAATTTTCTGGATTCGAATAAAAATTCTATTGATAATATTAATTTTTTCAATTTCATTCATTTAAATTCTAGACTCAAGAAATGTTGAATCCAATCTATAAGATAAGAAAACATATATTTAAATTTAGCAACAAAATTTTCAATTCAAACTAATTAAAAACATCTAAATCAATAAACTCAACTTTTTCTTTTTGACAGAGATTTAAATAAAGGCAACAAAGAAAAGAGAAAAAAAAAAAACTTATAACTTTCGCCCTTTTGTTAGCTGCTCTTCGATCAACCCGGGTCTTAGTTTGTAGGTCATAAGTATGTTTCTTGTTTTTAATTCCCTGAATCAAACGGATTCAGATAATATGTGTTTGACATATTTATTTTGAAAATAGTTGGATTCAGATAATATGTGTTTGACATATTTATTTTGAAAATTGTTTTCAAATTCTGTGATTAAATTATAAAAATAATTTTTTTTTATGTTTTCAAATTTTGAATTTAAAATTTTAAAATGCGGAATTACATTCTAAAAAAATAAAAACTATTATTTAATGTTACAAATTCATTTCATTTTTTTTTAGAATTAAAGCATTTAAAATATACTATATTATAAATTATATACTATTATAAAAGAAAATTTCTACAAGTTTTATAATCAAAATATTAATAAACTAAATAATATTATATTAGATTCTACTTAATATTTAGGTGCAACTACCACTAATTTACCAATATAATGCTAAACATACATCAAACAATTTTTAAAATTGATATTCAATTTCTAAATATGTGACTAAATACATAATAATAATAATAATGCTGCCAACATGAGTTTAGTACAATAATAATTCGTACATATCTCTTTTGTTTGAATTTTTATTGTACTCAAATAATAATAATCATAATCATATAAATAATTCAAATTCAAAGTTTTCCCCTAAATATTATTAGTAATTGTATTTTCAACCAATCCAAGAGTAAGAAAATGCATGTGCGTGTCGAAAGAACAGAAAAAGAAAATGTCATGTGGATCCCACAGCCATGGATTCCACGTCACTGCGTAGCTGGACAACAACTGGTGTTCAAAATTGGATTCCTATAAAATTGGCAGCCATGGAGGAAGCTGAAGAACTACCTCACAGCAACCAGAGAGAGAATAATAGCATATCAATGGCCAATCTTTTCATCAAACAAGCCAAGCAATATGCAGTGGCAAGGCCCAGTTACCCGCCGGAGCTATTCCGATACATCGCTTCGAAAACGCCCCGCCACGACCTCGTCTGGGACGTCGGGACCGGCACCGGCCAGGCCGCTAGCTCGGTAAGTTTCCTTACCGATCTTATGCGATTACCTGCTTTCTTTTAAGGATTTGTAAATCAGAATGATTTCGTCGATTTTGAAATTATTTACAATTGTGGTTTGAATAAACAAAATATAATTTAAAATCTGATCCGATCTATTTGTCGTTCAAAATAGGTCGAATTTGGTAGAATTTTAAATAAAAGTTCACCTCAATTCTGGATTGATCGGAAGAAATCAAAATGAACCAGAAAAGGAAAAAAAAACAATGGGACTGGAAAATGGGGAAGAAAAGGAGAGAATATGGGAAAAAGGAAAAGTCAGGATAGAGTTGTAAAGGTTTTTTAAAAGAGTACTAAAAAAAGTTTTTAAAAAGAATTTTATATAAAAGGGTATAATTGTAAAATAAATACTTTCTTTTTCTTTTTCTTTTTCTTTTTCTTTTTCTCCATCATCTGAGAGGAAAATTTTGGGAAATTTGAATACATGACCCTTGATTTTGAATTTATGACTCTTTTTTGAAAAAATCTAATTTGTGACCCCACCTCCCCTTATGTTTGATTTCTTCAAATTTTTATCTTTGGAAAAAGACGAATTTAGTCTCCTGGATTAATAAATATACATTTATGATGCATTAGATTTTTACCTACCTATCCACCAGATTCTAAACTCATGTTTCATATGATTTGAACTCTAAAACAAACAAATTTTTATTTTTTAAATCCTCTCAAACAAATATTGTTGTCCACGTGTTTGATCATATTATCTACACACTATCCAAAATCATTGTCTCCACATTTTGACTCTTGAAAAGTTAGGTATGTTACACTTTCAAAATTTTTACTTTAAATTTGTTGAAATTATTTGAAATATTTCTCCATCAATATATTTTACTGGAATGAAGTTCTTGGAAAAAAAAACGTGGTTCAGATCGTTGTCTCGGATCAATACTCGATTCAGGATTGAAGTTATATTGCACTGAGATTGAATAATTTTATCTTGCATTCAATCTCGGTGCAATTTGGTTCGGGACATGATCCGAGACACATCCCGAACTGATCTCAAACCAAGATTGGTCCAAGACACTTCCCGGACTAATCTCCTTGGTCCGAGACAGTCTGGGATGAAGCAAAATTTTTATTTTATTTTGTTTTTTTTGTTAAATCTTTTCTTATCTCATGTAGTTTTATTCGATTCGCTAGATTGAGTCCATGATTGAGTCTGGGATTGAATACGGGATTGAGTACGAGATTGAATCTGGGATTGAGTTCGGGATTGAGTCTGGGATTGAATACGGGATTGAGTACGGGATTGAATCTAGGATTGAGTCCGGGATCGAATCTGGAAAACGATTATTCTATTTTCTATATTTGGAGCCCTACAATCTACTGTAAAACAAATTGRCTGCTTCAAATAGCGCCGAAAATGGAAACCTAACACTAAGTAACGAAAATTTTTGAAGATTCGAGCCAATAACCTCGCTTCCTCCGAGATCCAAGACAATGATGATGTTGGTTGGTGRTGGTGGATGCAAAACGTTGGAACAGATGAAATAGAATGTTCACTGTGGATGGATGAGACGAAGAGTCCGAGAATAGGGAGGGAACGGAGGGAGACAAATGGTTCGAGTATATAGGTTTAGGGTTTTACTTTTGGGAATGTAGGGAGAGGAAGAGTCCGAGAATGAGAATGGAAAGATGTGGAATTTGAAACATGAGAGTAATAGAGTAATTTCACTTCTACAAATTTTGAAAAGGGTCATAAATAAGGGTGGTTGGGTTCACAAATTAAGTTTTTTTAAAAGGGGTCATAACTCCAATTTCAATCATGGGTGGSGTCATATATTTCAAATTTCCCGAAAATTTTGTTCTTTTCAAATCATTTCTATATTTCAAACTCTGGAATTTAAAATCATTCTCTTCCAATTTTTATGCCAAGTGTTATGCTTTTTTCCATTTGATCCAAAAGGTTAACTTACTGGTCTAAGTTTTATTTTTCCGTGATTTTAACACTTTCTTTTAGAATCTTTAGTGATCAACGAACCTTGAAAAATAATTAGGTGCGAACTAATCAGTATCAATCTTCCTGAGATTTTAAATTTTTTGAGAAACAGGAAACTATCCTTTTTTCAACATTTTTCTCTCATTTTGGTAAAAAATATAATGATTGTCATTAAAAGATGAGACTGTCTGTTGATCAATAAACACCTAAATATATTTTTTAAAGGAAATCTTTTGCTTTCRCATTATATTAAATCATTATATTGAGCATGAACCTCAGTAGTAAACCTCAGTAGTAAAGACATAAATAATTCATTCTCTTTAGATCAGATGTTCGAATTCTCATATCCCACATTGTTGTAATAAAAAAGGAAAAATACTTAGGTGGTGACTAGTCGTATGTTGTTGACAAATAAATTAGACTTTTTTTTTTAAACAATGAACTACCAAATTTTTCATGGTGGTCAGTAAGGATTAAGGTACTGACCAGTGACTATTTATGTAGCTTGCTGCACACTACACCACTGTGATCGCCACCGACACAAGTCCAAAGCAGCTCGATTTCGCRGCGAAGCTCCCTAACATCCTCTACTGCCACACCCCACCCACAATGTCCATCGCTGAAGTGGAGCATACGGTGGCGCCACGGGGCACCGTCGACTTAGTCGTTGTTGCCCAAGCCCTCCACTGGTTCGATCTCCCAACTTTCTACACAAACGTTCGACATATCCTAAAGAAGCCGCACGGTGTCATCGCTGCTTGGTGCTACACATTGCCAAAAGTCAACCCCACRGTGGACGCCATCCTCGGTCGCTTCTACACGGTGGACGTGGGRCCGTACTGGGAGGCACCGCGTAAGCTGGTGGACGAGGAGTATGAGACGATGGAGTTCCCGTTCGAGGCGGTGGAGGGGGAGGAGGGAACGGGGCCAGTACGGCGGTTTGCGGCGGAGAAGGAGATGGATTTTGAGGAGTATTTGACCTATTTGAGGTCTTGGTCGGCATACCAAACGGCAAAGAACCAAGGGGTGGAGACTTTGACGGGAGAAGTGGTAGAGGAGTTTGACAAGGCTTGGAATGAAGATGGGAAGAATGGTAAAAAATTGGCCAAGTTTCCAATCCATTTGAAAATTGGAAAAATTGGGGAATAATGATTAGATTTTATTATTTTGACTTGAAAGCCACGTGGTAAAGATTTATTGGTCTGAAATATCTACTGAAATTTTAACCTTTTGGGGTTGAATAAATTATGTTAGGCTAAATTAAAAAAAAAAAAAAGGTTCTGAAGCTTAACATTTGACATTTTGTTTCAAAAATACCCTTATTCCTTTAAAGATTTCAATATAGTACCCTTTACCTTTCATAAACGTTTCAAAAATCTTTAGGCAAAAATTCGTTAATATTTTAAATGGAAGTTGACGTGACAGAATTTTGAACGACATGATAGTTAACGTGAAAGCTAATTGCGATAAGTCTAAAAATAGAAGAAACATGAAAGATGCTATCATTTTTAAAATGAAGATTGTGACAAAATTGGATAAATAAGGGAGAAGTAAACTCAGCTGATAACGAAGGAATAAGACTTCCAGGACATAATTTTTAACTTTAGTTGTCATTTCATATTTGAACTTTAGTTTGTTCAAAATGGTACTTTGAAATGTTTATGAGAGGTCGAGGTATAATATTGAAACTTTTGAAACGATATAAGTATTTTTTTTATAAAGTTGAGTCTTTCTTTTATTTATTTATTAATATTTTTCTTTAGTTTAGCGTTGGTTGAGAAGAATAAGATTGTTTAGTTGGATTTATTGATTCGTGAAAGTGAAATTTAGGGTCGAGAAATAAAGAAGGAAAAATTGGTAGGGATGATGATAATGATTATTGGAATCTAGAACCAATGATGTTTAAGAATTAATTACGTTTCAAAATTGGTAAGGCTTTATCAGTATATATGGTCGAAATTGTGGGGTGGGTGATTCAACCTTTATTAACTTTACTGGAACTTTTGGATATTGAGAAATATAAAAAATGAGTACAGAGGAGACTCAGTATATTGGGTAAAGAAATGCTCGAGGACGAGCATGAATTAGGTGCGGGAGAATTTGATAAGATGAAAAATAAACTCATATTTTATATATTTATTTCGAAATTTATTAATGTATTACGTTTAAATATTTGAATTTAATYATAATTTAACATTTTGCGGCAAATTGAAGATATTCAAAAATAATAATTTAAAAGCGTAATTTTAGAAGATAATGCATATTTCACAAAATTGGGGAGAGAGATATAATTATTATGACGGGACACTTCAAATTGACAATTATGGATTTTTATAATATTTTGTAAATAAAAAGATATAATYAAATTAGAAAATATGACATAATTCTAAATAGATTAGGAACTCWTTCATTTAATTTATTTTCTTTTTAAATAAGAGTTTCTAATTAATTAGGAATTCCTGGAGCTTTTTATTGGAAGATGTATTGTTCCCGTGCCAACAAAAGCTCTCTCCACCTAAAGTCAAGTTCTCTCCACATGTGTGGCTAGCCTTTAATTTYTCTAATTGAAAGGTGATTCAAGTCCAATGGTAAAGTTGGAAGACTTGAGTTATATAGGGATTTCTTATTTTTCAAATATTCTGTTTCTTGTTGTTATTATTTATGAACAATTTATGTGAATTAAATTGACATATTAATTCATATTAATTGTCCTACTGCTACCGATGAGTCAACTTATGTGTGTATTTACAGCTTTTTCATGTCTAGTTGATTTTGGTTTAGACATTCTTATTATCATATGCTATTCTTTGATTAATATGGAGCACTATTGTGCCCAATTGATTAATTAATAAGATTTAATTTTGATATTTGGTCTAAATTAATTAAATTATGAGAATTAAAAATTACCACAGCTATTCTGAATAAGTAGACTAAGTTCTTGCATTAAGAAATAAGTTTTGTGCAAACCCTATGATCAATAGTACAATTGGATGAAAATCACATTTTTGTATTGAAAGTTTGGGAAGATTGACTCTTGTTTTTTGTTTTAGTTTTTTTTTTTTAATTTCAAAATTCAAATTCAAAACCTCATTTTATTAAAGCTTTGAGAATTAGTTTTATTGGTACTTGGGATTCTACCTACTTCTACAAATTAGATGGGTAAAATCAGCCTTACCAGAATGATCATATTGGTAAGAATTAATTACTTCAAAAATTAAGTCTTCAAGGTTATCTCAAGTGTAATAAAGCGTGAAATGTTTATTTATTAATTTAAAGATTTTGTATAAAATTTTTAGTTTACATAATCTTTTACTGAAAGTATCTATCGAAGTTTCATAAATATTCTCATTAACATTTTTATAAAGTCGAGACCTCTGTATTTTCACCTATGATAATAGAACAAGTTGTAGAAACCAAACCTCAATTATATTAATTATTGCAATTACATTAACAAACTATTCTTTCTTTTTTTTTTTTTATGCTTTTAGAACTTACTTAGATTTTGAAAGCAAGAAAATGAAAAAATATAATCGTAGAAGTAGCAGAAGAGAGTTAATAAGATTAAGGCTAAATTTAAAAAAAAAATACGCTTTTAAGTTTGCCCTTTATTTAAAAAAATAATACTTCTATTCTTTCAGAAGTTTGACATTACTCTTGATGTTTTACAAATATTTCAAAAACACTAATCGAGCAAACATTCGTTAATATTTAGAATATAAGTTTGATGTCGCAGAATCTGGAACGAAGAAACTTGCTTCGATTGTCTACTCAATTTTATCCTAAAAAATCTTCTTCCTCCATTATTTACTACGTTTACTTCTTCATTGTCTACCTACTTTGCCATAATCCACATTTTAAAAGCGGTAGTTACTTCCACATTTTCTCTCTTTTCAGACTTAATCCACACAAACTTCCACGTTTATTGTCAAGTTGTTCTAATTTCAACACGTTAGTTTCCATTTCAAAATATTAACGAATATTTGTTCAAATGGTATTTTAAAAATATTTACGAAAGATTAATAATAGTATTCAAACTTTTGAAAGGATAATAAAATTTATTATTTTTTGATAAAAAAATATTTATTTTAAAAATAATATTTAAAGATATTCTTTTGTAATTTAATCGAAGTTTAATCTTAAAAAACATACCAATAAAAAGAAAATAATACTCAAATAACTCGAAGCAAATTTAAGCATAGTTCAGTTAGTTAAGAAATTACTCATTTTTTCGGAGTTCAACAATTTTGGTACGGGATTGAACCACCAACTTCTACAATGGATTGACCATTACTTTGACAACTAAATTTTTAATTTTAGCCTATTATTTTTTTAGCCTAAATTAGAGAGGAGAGGTCCAAATTCAATTTCTTCTTCGTCAATCATCTTCCTCATTTCTTTCTCGCTAAGATTCGCGGGATATGTTCTTCTATAAATTGGAAAATTCCATTTTCCCAAATTCGCTAAATTAACAGATTTAATGGAAGCAACAATCGGCAAATTCTTCGAATCCGTTTCTTCGTTCTTCGGCGGTGGCGACCAGATCCCCTGGTGTGATCGTGATGTTATCGCCGTGAGTTTCTCTTCCATTCTCTCAAATTCCAACTTAAACATTATATTTTCTGTTTGGTTTCTGAGCAAAATTAATCAAACACGAAGAACAACAGCGTTGATTGAATCAAATTACGTCTTAACTCGAATTTGGCGGATTAAGAAGCTTAAGCTTTGGATTACGAACAAGGTTTGTGGAAGGGATTGGATTTTTTATTCAAAATTTGGTGAATAATTAATCCAGGGTTTTGTGTTAGAAGTATTTTGTTTCTGTATACATTCCCGTTTTTCCCCCTTTCTAAACTCTGCAACTGAACATTGTTGGGAAAATAAACAGAAGTTTTCTTGCTTGATCAGATTATTGTGGTTTTTTTATGTCCATATCTTTGGAACCACGGTAACATTGCGGATTTCTTGGCTGTGTTTGATGTATACTGCATATTGCAATGCAGGGCTGTGAAAGAGAAGTTGCAGAGGCCGACGAAAGTGCCTCAGAAGAACGCAAGAACGAAAGCATCATGAGGTTGTCATGGGCACTTGTTCACTCAAGGCAATCAGAGGATATCAATCGTGGCATGGCAATGCTTGAAGGTAAATGAATCTTCTGCAAGGAATTTCTCTAGGTATTTTAGAAATATACTTGAATTAGGAAGAGAGCAAATATTTCTTCTATATTCGTGTTGTTGTTAACTTCTTGGTTGTGATTGTTAACTTCTTGGTTGTGAAACTTATGAGTAAAGTTTTTAGGATGTAAACATTTTTAGATGAGCCTACAAAACTTGCATCTATATGACCTCAAAGGCCAGTTTGTATTGTTGTTCTTATGAAGTGCTTTGGCCATTTATAAGATAGTCTAGACTTGTATCATCAAAAGTTGGAGGATGACATCCCATTCCCTAGGACCTAGATGAAGGAAATTAATTTGTGAATCTGGAAACAAAAACTTAAAAACCATAATCTTTTTTATCTTTGAGTTTAATAATAAATTAGCTCGAAAATTGAAATGGGAGAAGGTACTCCCATTTGAAGCCATTATCTTCTTGCTTAATTTTCTCAAATTCTCAGGTACATAAGTTGTTCCAGTAGTTCATAGCTTAATTATCTGCATGGAATATGGATTGGTGTTTTTAAGTCGGATTAGTCTGTCATTTGCAGCTTCCTTAACCAATTCTAAGACCCCTTTGCAACAGAGAGAGAAACTTTATCTGCTGACTGTTGGATACTACAGAAGTGGTGAATATTCAAGGAGTCGGCAGCTTTTGGATCAATGTTTGGAGGTTTGTTTAAGTAATTTACTTTTAGATTCGAAAATTTTATATTTCTATTTTCTAATTCTAAGCCATGTGACTTGGTACCTGGACATAAGTTCAATGGTGACATCACAATGTTTAGCTTCAATGTCTATGTAATAGTACTGCTTCAGCTTTTAATTTTGTTTGCTAAATTATGCATTTGCTTTCTTAGCCTTACAATTTGATGCAACCATAAATTATATCACCTAAGGCTGGACTAGTAACATAAATTATTGCAGGTCTTACCCAGAAAAAGATCACCTATGATTCGATTAATAACATAATTCTTTTTAAAGCCTTATTTTAATGGAAGTGGATGTGTTTTACATTTATAATAAAGTCAAAAGGGAGACCCTTAAAGGGCAGTCCAGTTGGTAAGGATTTGAGATCTTTTGATCATATTGACTTAGAAGTGTAAGTTTGAATCTTCTGGTGAGTTTAATACAAAAGCCTTTTGATGTCTCTCGTGTTCGGGTCTTGGGGTGGGTGCATGTGTCCTTGGTTATAGGAGAGCAAAGCTCCGACTCCCAGTTATATAAAAACTAATAACAATAAATCAATAAAGTCAAAAGGGAGAGAACTGTTATTTCAATTCAACATTTTTCTGTCGCTGCTAAGTTTCTGTTTGATCAATTCTCTTTAATTGCCATACATTACGGCTGTAAAAATACTAGGGAGTTCTTTCTTTTGTTGTTGTTGATTTGGAAGCCTGTGGTCTATCATTTTTCGTATAGGCTATCCGATCGACTTCTTAAGCTGTGTTGGCACTAGTTGATTGTATATGCTAAATGAATTTCCTGGGTTTATGTAGATTGCACCAGATTGGAGGCAGGCCTTGACACTTAAAAAGACTGTAGAAGAGCAAATCGCGAAAGGTATAAGGAGATCTATAACCGTCTTCTCTTGAACCCATCTTACTGTATCGAACCATACACTGAAGTAATTCACATCACACTATGTCTTGAAATGCAGATGGAGTCATTGGTATCGGCATTACAGCGACTGCCTTGGGACTTGTAGCTGCTGGGGTCGCAGCTGCTGTGACTCGAAGATGAAAGGTTTATTCGTTCACTAGAATATGCACAAAACCAGACACTTCCTTCAACCTCAAGAATGGGAGTCTGAAGTTTTCAGTTCAGCCATGAGAAAAATGTTGAACAAGACCAAGAAATTGAAATCAAACTCCTTATATAGTCTTGAATTGTAACCCATTTCTAAATTTAGGATTCCAAAATCTTCTTGTGTTAATATGTTATATTCTTAAATGTGTTTCTCTTTTTATATGAGAAATATTTCTGCTTGTATGTTACTTCTATTCTTACCTGTCTGGCTGTCTCTCCCCTCTCCTTTGAAAAAAATTTCCCCCACATTTGGATAAAAAATGTGGTGAAACTTTTTCTCTTTTCTTGGAAATTACAAAATTCATCTGACTTAGAATTTTTAATTTGAGCAATTAAACACTATCATTGCTGGGTAGAAAATTAATTTTTGAAAATTTTTATACCCTGGTGATACCTAAGAAGTCCGGATACGACACGGACGAGATATGGATACGACACGGACATGGTGACATGTTATTTTTTAAAAATCTAGGACACATACACGGCAAGGACACGTTTATTGCTTAGAAGTTAAAATACCAAAACATCCAAAAATATGTCCAAATCCCTCAAATTCGAAAACCTCCAAAAATATCCCCAAATTCCCCAAATTCGAAAACCCTCAAATTGAAAAATAGTGACGGTTCGTGTCTTCTTCTCCGTTCGCCGGAATTATTCTTCTGATTGCTTGCGCCTTCTCCGACGATTCACCTCGATTTCGTCTACTCCTCCATTCGTCTGCTTCGTCTATCTCAGAGACTTCGTATCTGTCGTAGAGTTGTCCGTTCCCGTCGCCAAGCAGTCCATTTTCGTTCTACCATCATTCCATTTTTGTCCGCTCCTTCTTCTCCGGTCCCCACCTCCGATTTTCTCCGTCGCCGGAGTAGTTTGTCTCCGTTTATCCCGATCGTAAAGTTTGCATTTCAATATATCCTAATGTTGAAAACATTGTTTTTTTTTGTTTGTACTGTTAAACCCTTTTCTTATATTTTTTTTTTATATATTACAATATATCCTAATGTTCATTCCATACCCAAGTAGTATCCAATAGTTGTATATATAAGGTTATATGGGAATATATATAATGAGTTTGATCTTAGCATACAAAGCACCATAACAAATTTGTGCATTTCCCTTTTTGTGTAGCGATATATGGGGATATATCTTATAATGGTTGCCTTGCACTCTTTACCTTTTTGTGTATAGGGATATATTGAGATATATGAGATATATGGGGAAAAAGTGCTCTAACGGAGAGGAACCTGTTGGATCAAATCTGAAATGCGTCCGACGGTGGCTTCCAACAACTGGTGGGAATTTACGAGGAGGGATGAAATTTTTAAATTTTTTCCATTAATAATAATGGTAAATCATGGGAATAAATCTTTTTTGGAGGAGTGAATCAAGCGATTAATGTTGAAATTTTGTAGGGAGCCCACAATAATTAAAGGAATATGATTATAGATTCAAATCTTTTAAATTTCCAAAAGAAAAATAACTATAATAAAAGTAAATGTAATAAATAAGGTAAATCCTACGTGCAGAAATCTAAAATGTGTAAAATTTGAAAACTTTTAACATTTGTGAAATTTGACATTATTCATAAGTTTATGTATTTTTATGTATATAAAAATTAGTTTGATCTATTTTACTGTCAAAGTTTACTATTTTGTTGGGTTTTTGGGCTCAATAGCCTTTCTCAAAAGTTGAAATATGACACTCTCCTCATTTTTATTGTTTCGTAAACATTTGCCGACATCACTATTCACTCCAAATTACTGTCTTATCCCTCCACTAACCTACTCTCCTTCATCTCTCTCGGTGGTTCTTCTCTCTTCTCTCTTCTTCTTTCTTTTTAAATTTTTTAGATTTTTACGGATTGTTTTTTTTTCCAGAAAATCTCTCTCTCTTCTGTTTCATTTTTTTCGAAAAAACAAAGAGAGAGAAAGAAAGAGAGAGAGAAGCGAGAAAGAGAGAGATGAAACGAGAAGGAGAGCGAGAGAGAAAACGAGAAAGAGAGAGAATGAGCGAGAGAGAAAAAGAATCCCGATTATTTGATTTTTGTTAAAGCAGAGATTAAGGAGTCCTATTCCAAAAATTACAAAACAAACACCATTTTTAGTAGTGGTAGAAATTTTTTAATTTAATTTTTAATAAATTTGAAACTTCTTCAAACTTTCTCTTTCTTCAAATTTTCTCAAAATTAAAATAACAAATTTTTTAGATTTTTCTCTACCTCTCTCATCTATTTTGTTTTTTTTTTTCGGTTTTGCATGAATCAAAGAAAAATCCCTCTCTCATTTGTTTCATTTTTTTTTCTAAAAACAAAGAGAGAGAGAAAAAAAGTGAGGGAGAAGCGAGAAAGAGAGGGAGAAAGAAAAAGAAAAGAGAGAGATAGCGAGAGAGAGAAAAATGTTGGAAAATAAAGGACAAAATTGGAACTAGGAAGTAAAAACGTTGTGCCGTGGACGGAACCACTGCCTTGAAAGCAAAATCGACACGACCTCGGTGCTAAATCGTTTTACTGCTGGTATGCTCCTCAAGGTTAACACAACCTCTAATTCAAACAAACGTGCACTCGTCGGAATAGGAGTGAAATCAATCTCGTGCTCAGCGAACTTTTTATAGTGACGTGGTGGCCCAAAAATAGAATTGAATTTTTAAAAAATAAAAATTCAAAAATTATTTTGGCCACCCATGTGTCCTTTGACTAGCCATTTTAATCTCTAAACTTGACACGTTTGCTTGACTTTCTCATTCAACGGTCATTTATCTACATATCCAACAATTCCTCTTAGTTTGCCATGTGTCTTTGACTTTGTAGAAGAAATTTGTCCAAAAGAAAACCAAGCCCGAGCCCTTGCCTCACACCAAGTTTGTAAGCCCAATGCTGAGTCAATGCTTATAAACCAACGTTATTGTTCCGATTTGGGACAACAATATTTGTCATTCCCAACAAAAAATAATCCCGATTATTTGAATTTTGTTACTAATTTGAAGCAGAGATTAAGGAATCTTATTCCAAAATTACAAAATAAACACCATTTTTAGTYGTTGTAGAAATTTTTTAATTTAATTTTTAATAAATTTGAAGCTTCTTCAAACTTTCTCTTTCTTCAAATTTTCTCAAAATTAAAATAAATAGAATTTTTAGATTTTTCTCTACCTCTCTCCTCTGTTTCGTTTTTATTTTCGGTTTCGTATGAATCAACGAAAAATCTCTCTCCTCTTTTTCATTTTTTTTCGAAAAAACAAAGAGAGAGAAAGAGAGAGAGAGAAAAAGAAAAGAGAGGAGCGAGAAAGAAGGAGAGAAAGAAAAAAGAAAAGAGAGAGAAGAGAGAGAGAGGAAACGAGAGAGAGAGAGCGAGAGGGAGAAAAAAAATCCCAATTATTTGAATTCTGTTACTAATTTGAAGCAGAGATTAAGGAATCCTATCCCAAAATTAACCAAATTTATTATTTTTTATTAAAAGATATTCTATTTAAAAAATTCTCCTTTTCACCCCTCGCTCTCTCTCTCCCTTTCTCGTTCTCTCTCCTTTTCACGCCCTCCCTCTCTTTCTCGATCTCTCTTCTCTCTCTTCTCTCTCTCGTTCTCTCTCTTCAATCTCCCACAATCAAGCTTCGGTTCTCCCACAATCGGTTGATTTTATAGTTAGAAAAAAAATGAAGTTTCTTATTTACAGAACAGAAATAGGGTACTTCGTATTTTTTTACATTTTAATTTTGAGAAAATCTGAAAAAAGAAAAAGTTTCAAATCCATGAAATTATGAAAATTTTGAAGAGAAAAAAAAATGAAAGTTTGAAATCTGCAAAAGTCTGGAAAATTTGAAAAGAGAGAAGAAGAGAGAGAGGGAAGAGAGAAGGAAACACCGAAAAAGATGAAGAGAGAAACAGAGAAAATATGAGATTCAAATAAAAAAAGAAGGGGAAATGTTTGAGTATGTTAGTGGAGAGGTCGGGCACATATCAAAATGAGGAGAGAGGCCACCTAATGAAACTAAAATTCAGCCCAAAAACCCTATTTTGTTCTATGCTACTATTTATGTCTATTTCTTATGCTTAACAAGTGTTTGATATGGGATTAAGTACAAGTCTAGAATCCACATTCACTTTTTACAATTAGTGTGTGACACGTATCTATCAAACTATCAAGTATCGGATACGTGTCCGTATCCAAAATGAAGTGTTCGTGCTTCTTAGGATGATACAATTGAAACTTTTAAGACCAAATTAAATTATATATTTATCACACTTTTATTTTATTTATAAAAATTATATTGAAAAGAGACAAACATTAGCATAGTTCAACGATAATTGATATCTACTACTTTTCTGTGTCAGAGGTTCAAATCTTCGTACTTCCATATTTTGTAAAGAAAAAAAAAATGAACTAAAGAAAGATGATGGTCTCTCCCAGCCCAATGGTCATTTTCTTTCTGCCCTTTACCATTTACTTAGTTGGTGCATATCCATAAATATTATTTTGGTTCTTACTTTCGGTTTTAGTTTTTAAAATGTTCGTAGTTTCTATGTTTTCAAATTTAGTTTATTTTAACTTTTGTACTTTCAAAACCTCTGTTTTGGTGTCTATTTCTAAAAAGTGACCATTATGATTTTGATTTGTAAAATTTCAACACAAATTTTATATACAATGGAAATCATTTAATACAAACTTAAAGCTATGTTTAAAAAATATTTAGTGAGTGAAATGTCAGGTTATATTTTGATTAAAATAAATGAGATCAAAATAAAAATGAAGAGGTCAAAATAGTCATTTTTAAAAAATACTATGATCAAAACTAACGTTTCAAAAGTACATGGACTAGAATGAACAAAAATTGAAAATATAGGGATCAGAATAGACGTTTTGAGAGCACATTGACCAAAATAAACGAAATTCTACCTGAACTAAAATAACATTCAAACCAAATATCTAAGTAGGAGTGAATATAACAATGTACGTTTTTAAAGTTCAAATTTTCAGAAAATTCTCAAGAGATTAGCGATTCAATTCTCGAGGTCAGATTCAATTCCTTGTCCCAGATATGTTGTAATTAGAAAGTGGAAAAAATAAAATTGGGATGGGGGATAAGGGTAGGGCTAAGAATACATTTCTTGTCTCTCTATTCCCAAAAATTATATTATCCTCGATTAAATTGGGAATCATGAAATTTCCCACTATTCGAGAAGGCTTTTTGCCAACTCATAATCATGAAATTGCTCCCTATGTCTTGTTTTTGCTTGGTTGTTCAAAGGTTGTTTAGCTTTGTAAATTGTAATCCATTGTTAAGCCAAAGGGACTATTAATAACAATACTACCATTAGGGCACTATCTATTGCTTCTTTCAAGCGAATTCCATTCTATTTATTCTTAAAAAATGTGAGAAAAAAGAGTAGAAAAATGCATATATTAAATTACTCGCCTAAATTTGACTTGATGTTTATTTAGTCCATATCATTTTTAAAAAAAATTCAAGTATCTTCTCAAAAAATAAAAAAAATAAAAAATCTAGTAGGTCCCTAAATTTTCGAGGTTGTTTCTATCAAATTCTTGTATTTCAGTTTTGTGTTTAATAAGTTTGTGTTAACTTTGTTCGTTTAATGATTACACTGCCAAATTCATAAACTTGCTCGAAATTAGTTGACCATGCAATCCTTAAATAATGTTAATGTAGTTATTGCGACAAAAAGTTAAATTGAAAAAGTAAATGACAGTTGTTCACTAGGCATAACAAAAATTAAAAAAACTTGTTTGAATTTTTTTTTGAAAAACTTTGTAAAGTAGGGATTAAACAGAGGTTGAAGATGAACACTGAAGAAAGGAAAGAAATAAATTTACCAGTATAGTTAAGATTCAATTATAGGGCCGTAACCAAACATTTAAATACATTTTGATCCCTATACTTACGACTTTGATTTATTTTGGTACCTATATTTTTAACTAAATATTACGATGGAAATAAGTGAGATAAAAATGAAAATGAAAGAAATTCAATGAGTGAAGTGTTACACTAAATATTGATAATTTTACTTTCATGTTTGTTCTTCCATTTTCATTTTTATCTTACGTATTTCTATTACAATATTTAGTTTCTTAAAACATAGCCCTAAATGTGTGAGTTTCCGTTGAGTATAAAATTTTTGTTAAAAAATTGCAAATAGAAACCAAAATTATCATTTTATAAGAGTACAATAACCAAAACGGATGTTTCGAAAGTAAAGTAACTAAAATGAACAAAAATTGAAAGTGCATGAATCAAAATGAACTTTTTGAAAGTACATAGACTAAAATGAACCAAAGTCGGGACTACAATGATCAAAATAGTATCTAAAACCTACAATAAATCAGCTACTATATATAGCTCAAAGAGTATTATTTTTCATATCACTAAGACAGTTTTAATGATAATTTTCTTTTAATTCTGCATCAACCATTGTTAACCAGGTTCTTCTAACCTATATCTCATTCTTAAAAGACAGAAGATATTCTATTCATCATAAGGAACTCAAGTTCCTGATATCATAATGTTACAAAATATACTCAGTTGAAAATAATAAAAAACATGCATTATCCTCAGTAATGACTATACACCTCTTCACTATCTTCTACTAACATGAATACAGAAACAACACAACGATTTACCGATAAGATTAAACTGTCCAAGAGAAGCTACTGCGTCGTCGTGAGAGCAGAATGCAGCACATCTTCAAGATACTTCTCGGCCACAGCATACTGTCGTTTCTTGTCCTCAATTGCTAAGGCAGCCAAAGCTTTATCCTGTAACAATGGCAACAATTCCGACTTCAATCCCTTTCTTTTTCTCTTGTTGGTGAAGTTAAAGGTTTAGAACCATTTATAGACAAAAAACAATTGGCAGTAGATGAGAAAATGGGGAATGAATTACAGGAGGCAGGTCTTGGTAGCTCCTTAAAGTATCAAGGATGGGCTTCGTTTTCTTCTCCAACTCTTTCCTATGCTCAGCCATATCAACCAGTACCCCATGGCTAATTTCTGGTGAGTAACCAACACGATTAAGCATTGCCTGTCACGTAAAGTACTTCATCAAATCATGTCCGAATTGACATTTGGAATTAGATAACCCTTTAGAACAGAAGACTGCCGAGAGAAATAAATTGTGAACTTACAGTTTTGAAGAAGGAAAGCCATTTTTAACATTTTGCTATGCAAATATAGTTCATAAACTTTACCATAAACATTCATAATGCAGCACACGTCCATGCTCCAAAACATTTTTTAAACACCTGGGTATTGGAGGCCACTCCTTGGATTATGCTCATGACCTACCCCGCTAATCTCTAGGAAGGATTTACGCCATAGGAGACAACAACGGTTTAAAATTATTAAGTTATCCACCTAAGGAATTGAATCCAAGACTTGGAGGATATCTCTAAACATCCTAAACCCAGGCCACCAATTAAGGTGCTCCGAAAAACTCGTGTCGAGATACACACCAGTCTATAAACTTCAAATCCAGTCGATCCTAACTACTAGCAAGACTACAAGAACAAGTACCTTGTAGTTGGCACATTGCTGCATGTACTGCCTCTCCTTGGCAGCCATTACAGCCAAATTTGTCTTCCAATTATCCATTTGAGCTTCACATGGAGGTACATCATCTTCTAGCTGCGCTAGCGTTCTAACATGTTCATGCCAAAGTGACAACAAACAAACAACAAAAGAACACTAAATTGCAAGCATCTCAGAAACACTCTAAGAATCAAAATTTCACTAAAAACTAACCTCTTCAAATATGTTAGTCTTGCTATAGCCTTTCGAGTATGATCAAGCAGAACTTTGGACTCCTTCTCCACCTTCGTCCTCTTCTCCTCTACACTCATTTTTCTCAAAGAAATATCCCCCATTGCCACCAGAAAGCTACATTCAATTCGACGTTCTCTCAACAAAATACTCAACAGACAACAAATCAATGGAGAATAAAATTAGGGATTTCATTACCTACTGAGCTCAGTGTCCCTAATGTTCAACAAATTCGCGACATTCGAAAGAACCTGCGCCGACGAAACCACATTGGAGGGCAAATTCTCCTGCGCCATCCCCACGCTCTCCAAAATCTCCCTGATCCTCGCCGCTAAATCCCCAAAACAAATCAATTAAAAGAAACGATCCCTCAAAAGAATTTCACCAAATAGGAAAAATTAGAGATGACCGGCTCTGACCTTGAGCGCGGTACTCGGAGGCCTTGAGGCGGAAGTCTTTGGCGAGGATCTCGGCGGCGCGTGTCTTGGCCTGAGAGAGGGTGCAGAGATTGTGCAAATGGGAGATGCTCCGAGGAGTGTATTCGAAATCCGGGACCTCCTTGCCGGCCCTCCCGAATTCGGATCCCAACCACTCCTTCACTTCGGCGATCCGACTGCTCGGATCTGATCCCAATTTGGGATCGGAATCCACCGTCGGCGAGATTATGTCGCTCATATTTGGCCGGAAAAAAATGGGTTGATTTTCTCTTCCTAGGGTTCAGAGAAAATAGAAGTCGGAAAATCCCTGTGGAAGAGATCGGCGACGGCTCCGAATATCCCGTCGAAGATAATAGTAAAACGGCGTCGCAGCGATCGAAAAGGGATTTTCTTTCCTTTTTGTTTTTTTGGGTTAAATTACAAATCTAGCCACCGGATATTTTAAAATTTTAATTAATTAAAGTCGATTATTATTCTTTCAGTACAACATGATGTGACGATGAAGATTCGAACTTACGATTTTTTGTTGAAAATAAATGTCTTAACTAATTGAACTTGTCTAAAGTTGTCATTAATGTTTATTTTTAACATTGACATAATCAATATCATCGATTAAAATTAAAATATTTTATAAAATATAGAGATAAACCTAGCTTTTTAAAGCTGAGACTAAAATGACTTACAAGTAGCTAAAAGACTTGGAAAGACTCTAGCCTAACACCAAGAAGACACTCCATACCTAGTTACATGTTCTTTTTTTCATTAAAAAAAAAAGTTGACTTAATCTAAAGTATTAGATCTCGTTGATGCGTGATTTCGTGGTGTCGTACCCAATACAAATTAATTAGTATTAAGATCAAATCGATATTGAGGTGAGTACAGATAATGTCGCATAGTTTTTCAAAAGAGATTCTGCTATTGATAGTGACATGGATTGTCCCACCATCGAGTCTAGGTGCCCTCTCATAGGTGCAGTATCCTTGATCTCATTTGTGTTGCCTTCCACATGGCTTTGTCCCATCGACTTTGTGGGCCTAGTCCTTGCCACGTGATGAGATGTTTTTCTCACCCTTAAAAGTTTTATTCTTATCCAAATTCAAGATTCTCAATTTATTGATGAATTTCAATCTAATGAAACTAAAATTTTGTTAAATTATAAGTTTAGCCTCAAAATTTCGACTTTTGTGTTTGTTTAGTTTCTCCAATTACGTCCCAAAATATTTGACTTAGATTCTAACAAGCCTAGTCATTAACATCGTCATTTGAATGTTCCCATGACATGGTAATTGACGACCCCATATGATAATTTGACACAACATAGCAACATATATGTAACACAAAAAGAGTGGACCAAAAGAGAACAACATTTCAATCTTAAATCTATTCCCTTCATATTCTAGCATCAAATTATTTGTCCTACTTGCCCATCTTTTATCGAGGTAACTTACTCCTAATTCTACGTTAGATCAAATCATCACTTATCACTCAAATCTCAATCTACCAAACATTTAAGTATCAATCGTAAAGCCAACATGAGCTTAATTAACGATAATTGACACATGTTTCTAATCAAGAGGTGATGGATTCGAATTCATCGCACTTTTTCTACAATGAACTGTAAAAATTTATTAGAATCAAAATCCAACGTTGAGTGAATGATTTCGAAATACCTTCCATTTCAACACATTTGTTGAAACCAAAACACAAATCCATGATATGAATTCATAAACAACAACAAAAAGGGCACCTTATCAATCCATTTTCATTGCACTTAGGGCATCTCCTCAAGCCTCCATCTTCCCCAAACAGCTTCCTACTTCCATCACAATTAGGGCATAGCACAAACCTTGCTTCCCCACACCTCCCACACT